ACAAGCCACAATGGGTTGTGGAAGCTCTTGGATATCCAACTTCTCCGCCCGTGCATAGTCGGTATCGATGCAGCAGGTACTGCAGCCGCTGTCGAGCAGCGCCTTGACTCCGCGCGTTTTTCCTGAGTCCAGACCCGTGATCTGGACATATACGTCCATCGAATGCCTCTTCCTCTCGGCCTGGTAATTGCGCAGTTCCTGCGCCAACCTGCTGGGCTGGGGGCCCTTCTGTTTCTCGGCCGCCAATTTCCTCTGGACGGCATCTGGCACCCTGGTGCGTTTGGGTGCTTCTGGAACCTTGATTTCGGCAGATTTCTTAGGCGCTTCCTCCTTTTCCAAGGATTGAGCCTTCGGAGCGGTGCTCCCCTTTTCGGTCTTTGTTGACGTGGTTCCTTCTCCACGAGCCATAAATACGTAGGAATCCAAAATTAATTTATCTGCAGCTTTCCGATCCTTTTTACTTTGTAAATACTCTCTATTTAAAGCTATTTTTCCTTGGCGTTCTTTTTCCATATCAGCGATGAGAAAATCGTGAATATTGGTACGTAGTGAGTCTGAGATTGTGTATGTATGTGCAGAATCGCTCATGTCTTCAATCGAAACAAGTACAGAAAAACGTCCATAGTCCGGATGCTCCACCTCCTTGGCTAGAGGAGTGGAGCGCTTCAAAAACCCTTCTCGCGCAGCTTCTCGGCAATCTCCTTGAGGAACTCGTTGTCCTTGTCCCCGTTCTCGATCTCTTCCAGCATCGTGGCCCGATTGAAGAATGTGCGCTTCTTCCTTGGTTCCGGGCAGTTCTGTGCAATGTGCCCAGGCTGCTGGCAGTTGTAGCAGATGATATTGCGGCTGCGGGCGTGGGTGCGATCGATTTCCATCGGAACCGGCTCGTTGGCGGCGGGTCGGGCCGGGGCGGGTGCAGGTGTCATTGGGGCTACCTGTGGGCAGAATTGGGGAGGCGGTCGTGGTGCGGAGTGCGCATGCAATGCTTTGCACAGCTGATCGCGTAGAGCGTTCGCCTCGATGTTGATGCACCAGGCTTTGAACGCCCCATAGGCCTTGGGCAGAGGAACACCAGTGTTGTAGAGATGGCTGGCAATCTCGCTACTGAGTCCGCGCTCCAGGAACTCGATGAGGATATTGTCTTGGTCTCCCTTCTTGTATTTGCCCTTGTCGTCGGTGGTGTCGACCACATTGTATCCCGCATCCGAGGCCAACATCTCAAAGTCGGAGATGTAGTCCGCGAAGGACCGTTTGTTCTGGCGCAGGGCCATGAGTCGAGCCGCGGCGACTTGTTCCGCATTGGAGTCCCCAAAGGCCCTCTGGAGCTCCTCCAGGAAATTCTTTGATGTGACTCCTGCCTTCAGTCCCTGGAAGCCATCGAAGTTGTGCTGCTTCCAGTTCATCGCCCATCTTGAGGCAGCACAGCTCGTGCCGTTCTCATTACGGAGGTAGGAGAGGACGAAGAGGATTTTGGTCTCATCCTGCGAGAACTCTGATTGGTAGGCACCAATGTAGGTGGTGCACGAGTCTACGAAGCCCAGATATTTGGATTTGTCCCCATCAAAATAGGGAGGGTTGGCGGCGAGGGTGATGCGATGGTGTCCTGACATGGTACGAGCAGGTGCGGTAGGTGGGGGTGAGGGTGGTTGTTCAGAGGGCAACTTGTCGAGGGCTGGGATCTCGTCTTCAGGTGGCGGGAGGGCGAGATAGGGGTTGGAGGGTCCGGGTTCGTTTTGATGCGCCAGATCGGGCGACGATGGTATGATGGGGGGAGGGGATGGACTCCCAGATGATGATGGGAATCGGTACGAAATGGTGGATTCGTGTGCTGTACAAGCACTCGAGGAAAGGTTCTTTTGCTAGCAAAAAGATCCCGGGCCTAGCTCTTCACGTGCCCGATGATCCCGAGGTGCGTTTTCCCAAAGGTCTCCGCAGCACTCCTTGTAGCTACCGTAAGGCTTGGGTCAGGCTCAACGTTACCCGTGGCCTGGTGCTGTTTGCTCGATATGAACCCTTCACTGCGATCGCGGTGAGCGACTAGATGATTCGGTAAAAGGGTGAGTGGGGTGATAAAGGTGAAGAGGATATAGCGGGCGTAGCGGTGCGGGGGCAGGGTAGGAGGTAAGAGGTACGAGGGTATGAGGGGAGTCTTCGAATTATGTGACAATCAACCAAAAACAATAGTCGAAAAGATAAGTGAATTCGAAGACTGGAGAATACAACCAAGTAGCTACAGTATTTATACCAAATCCAGTCTGAGTCATATCTACAACTAATGAGTCATAAGGCTATGTACCGCATGGAACACTGGTCATGGGTTGTAGTAGAACCTTCCGGAGCATATGTCGCGCAGCCTTGAATTGATAAGGATAACCTCTGGAACCCCTAACCCGGACCGTCTGATGCCGTGATCCGTGATAAGATAAGTCGTGCCAAGATAAGATGAGATCGTCGAAGATAAGATAAAAAGTGGCCGAATTATGACAGTGCCCTTTTCTTCGAGCTCAAGCGACTCAATTTAGCCCCCAAGACATGGGAACAGCGCTCCACTGCTGCGACCGCTCTTTTCATTGCTCACATAGAGCACTTGCTTCCCCACCTTTGTCTCTGTGTTGACCACTGGAAGGCTCTTGCTGTTGGCAGCACACTCTACCCCAAGTGGTCGACGACATACCTCAAAAGAGCGCAACTGCCCAACGTCAAACTGGAAGCAGAGAACGTCTCGACCAATTCTGGCTCACTGATTGCCTCACCTGCTATGATTTCTTCCTCACCCTCACCCAATCTTGTCCCTCAAGCATTCGCAAAATGCAAATCATCTACTGACAAACTCACTGTGAAGAAGAGAGCCAAGGGCTCCGCTAATCCTACTGTCCCGGTGAGCATTCTTTGTGTTGTTATCAATACCACTCAAGAATGCAACTTGGTAGCACCTCAAGAATGTAATGTGAGTCAAGACTTTACTATGACTCTGTGTACATGCTCACGGTACTAGAACATTGCATACCAAGACAGTCGCTGATATCTCAACTTTGGTCACTGTCACTGACCCCTGCGAGAAGGCCACAAATACCACGGCCACCATAGTGACAGCTTCTGACATCTTGTCCGCAGATATACAAAAGCCAGCCACACAGCCAGAAGTCACCAAGACGATAACAACAACTATGACATCAGGCTTATGCTCTGCCGCTGTATCAGGTCCAGAAGAAGGTTACTTCCCTCATGCCTTCTCTCTCTGCACATGTCGCTTATTCATTACAGTGAATCCAATACCTGTAGTACTTGGGCTTGTAGACACTTCAAAGCCAGGTACAAAAGGTGCTAGATGGCGACCAAAGATTGGGAAGACCACCCGGTGCGTACTACCCATTGTCAAGCTACTCGTAAATCTTCTAACGAAACTTCTATGTAGCTTGCGTTGTGCTTTCCGATACTCAAGAGCTGTGGTCAACACAATGTCGTCCGACTTTGCTCTATATTGGGACTCTCTCGCTGCAGTCGAGAGAATCAGATGGGAAAATGCAGTACATTTGAAGCTTGGGTATTGACTGTGTGACTAACCAGGTCCTCTAGACTGAATCTGAATGGCTGCAGATCCAGGTTGGTCCTGCTTCCAATGGACATCTTCCTCCGCCGTTACTGTAGCTTGAATGGTGGCGAGATGGTGGGATTGGCAGAGGGAGTCCGCATCATCAATAGTATTGTCGCATATCCTCATGTATCCAAGCCACACCATTATATTACATAGCAATACATTGAGATACAGGCCAATACACTGCAGGAATCAATTCTCATTTTACTACCCTACTGTATGCCAGAGTATCCACCTGTGTTCCCTCCGGGATGACTGTTTGGCTGGGTGCCCACTCAAGATACGTGGGCTTACTATAGGATACCCAACAATACCGCTTTTTCACTGGGCATGAGGCCAAGGTGAGGTTGTCCCAATGACGCCATGCCACTCCAGCTTGGGCTGATTCTTTTCCAAGGGTTATGTGGGTTTCCCGAGGGAACATGGTCAGCTAGTGGGCGCCACGCCCTGCAAGTTGAAGTCTTTCCGCCATATTTTGAACCAGTAGTTTTTCCTGCGCATTGTTTGACAATGAATAACACAAGCTGGGATGTCTTTCAAAGACTCCAAGCCTATCATGATTAAGGTAGACCTGCCCTCGGAGCGATTTCAGTTCTGGAGCGGCATCTTCAATGAGAAAAGTGGTTTCTGAGAAGTCTTGCAGTCTTCTTCCACCCTCTGCAATATTGTTTGGGAAAGTGCTACCATAAGAAATATGGTGCGTGCTGCTTAGTCACCCCTACCTGAGTAACAACGTTACTAGTCACGCAGTTTTTTAGCTATTTTTTTCCCTCTTGGGATTCGACTCCTTTTCATGCAAGGATTCAAATGGCTAGAGGGATAAGCCATAGCTAAATTCCTGAGAAAGTCATACAATTTCAACAAGGTCAATTTGGCAGTAAGTAGAAAAATTGGTATTTATTGATCAAATGAGCGGGCCACGGCATCAGGAATCCTTCTGTGCAAACTGGTAAACTCTTGACTTGAACTGGTGGTCCTCCAATTGTTGGCAGTGCAGTGATCAGGGTGATCGATCCTACTTGGGACTTGGATCAACTCCTAATGAAAGGTCACATATATATCATTTTCCATTGCTTGTGGACCTCAGTCGTCTTACTTTCTGTAACCAACTGAGGTATGTGTTCTGCCCTCCACCTGCAGCTCTTCCCAGATGGACTCACCGAACCTGTAGATCTAATCTATATATCTCTGTCTACAGGTAGTGCTCAAGTCGTCTTACTTTCTGTAACCGACTGAGATCTAATCTATATATCTCTGTCTACAGGTTATGGGCCCCGTTGCGTAAAGAAACGCTGAACAAACAACTCACAGAACTAAACCAACCCACTGCGCCGCTGCTGTACTGTCCGCATTGCGACTTGTGTGCCATCCCTTGAATCCTACCAAGACCCCTATATAATACACCATGAACTCCCTTGGCCAGTTCCTACTTCTGGAGAAACAGCGATTCACAGGGAACAACTACTCAGACTTCGTACTTGTCTTCAAGCCTGCCATTGTCAGGCAAGGTCTTGGGGGCTACCTCGATGGTACGATATCAACCCCTAATCCGACTTTCACATTGTCAGGAGCAGGCGCCACTGCTTGACTCACCAGGTCCATCACCACAACTGGTCACTTCATCCCCGATCCAACTACTCCCATCTTCTCGACAACCCCGTTTGTTGAGGAATACAAAATGCGGCACGCCTGGGTGCGGTCGATCCTTTTGAACAACATTGTCCAACCTTGTATGCTGGGACTGGGAGGAGAGAAATAGATGGCCGCACAGATATGGAGGGTGATAGAGGATGGTTACGGGAAGAGTACAATTATTGGGCGACTAGTCGCAGAGAACGCATGGAACGCATGCAAGCTTGAGAAGTATCTCAACAACAAAGACCCTGTTGAGGCATATGTCAACGCCAAGTTCTTGGCCTGGTGTGACTTCACATCCCAGGGTGCGGTTAACAATGAACGGACCTATATCGCAGGTCTAGTTGCCGGACTATCAAGTGAATTCATCCCTATAATCCCGATGATCATCAATGCAGCGACACCTATTGAGGCTCACCAGATCACCAAAAGCTTCAAGAGTGTTGTTAATATTGTTGGAGGTGTTACCCCGTTGTCCACTGTGATGGCCACCAACGCAGCGGCGGTCCCCGTTACGTGCAGCAACTGCAAGAAGCGCAGCCACACAATTGAGAAATGCTGGTCAAAGGGCGGTGGTCGCGAGGGGCAAGCACCAGCCTGGTTTGGTCGTCGCGGTGGCAATCGAAATGGCGATGGGGGCAGCGGCAGGAACCAGGATGTTACAACGTCAATGAATGTGATTGCGCTGCATGCGGTGGCCAGCCTTGCCACTTGCGATGCGACACTAGACAACGCAGGCTTCCCTGAAGCACCGGACTTGATTGATGGGGTGGACATGGGAAACTGACCGGAGATCTTTGTAGCCACTGCAAACCCGATGGTGTATTAGGTTGTGGGTCAGGTAGTCCCCACATACCTAGATTCCGGAACTTCCAATCACTGCTTCACCAATAGATCCGATTTCTCTTCTTATGTGCTGCAGTTGCAAACCGGTCAAGCTGCACCAGTTGGAGAGGCAGGAACATTCAAGATCCTCGGAAAAGGGACCGTCATAAAAGAATTCATGGTTGGGGAGAGCATCCACCGACTTACCTTTTCCGACGCACTACACACGCCAGACTTGCATGCCAATTTGGTGTCTGTGGGCCAGCTTGATGAGCGCGGGTACACAACAACGTTCAGCGGCAAGAAGGCATCAGTCACCAACCGAGAAGGGAAAGGATTCACTTGCCTTTGGAACGAGAACCGGATGTACAGAATTGGTGGGGGAGCTACAGAGGTTAAGATGAGGCCGCGTCCAGAGATAATGGCGACACGCACGCTTGAAGACTTGCACCGATGCTTTGCACACGCCGACACCCGCACTATCCTCAAAATGGACCGCCGCAAACTTGTGGATGGCTTGGAGATCGGAAGCCAGGCTCTCAATGGGAGATGCATCGGATGTCTGCACGGGAAGCAACCGGCCCTTCCGCATGTCCACCCCATTGCCAATGGCGCCAATGATCCAGGCGATCTGGTGTGCATGGACCTATGGGGCCCTGCACCAGTGGTAGCGCAAGATGGATCACACTATTGGATGATCATTATTGATGCAGCAACGTGCGTCCGCGACCTTTATTTCTTACCGTCAAAGGAGGCGGATGGAACTTTGAAGCCGCTAAAGATATTTTGGAAGCACCTAGAGACGCAGATGGGACAGAAGATCAAATGCATACATGTTGACGGCGGAGGCGAATTTGCCCAGTCATCAGTGTGGAAGACATACCTTGAGGAGAACAGAATCATTGCGGAGGTAACTGCCCCGCACTCCTCTGAGTTGAATGGCATGGCAGAACATAGAAACCGGACAACAACTGACAATGTACGTGCATGCCTTGACGACGCAAAACTGTCGGCAGAATGGTGGGTCGAGGCATCGGCCTACTCTGCATACACTAGGAACAGGCTCATGTGTCACGGTGGTTGGATTCCGATTGAGCGATGGACAGGTCGCCGAGTCAATGTGGCTCACCTGCATCCTTTCGGTTGTTGGGCGTACGCGGTAATCCCAACTGACGGGAATGGACGGCAGGTGAATGGTGGAAACAAGTTGGGTGTTTGGGTCTTAGACGGCGTTATGGTTGGATACCTCGGAGGTGACTCAGGTTACCGGATCTTGACCAATGGGGGAAAAGTGGTTGCGGCTGGGGACGTAATATTCGAGCATGGTAACCCGCACTGCACACTGGCCAATGTCGATGCCCCCACCGACAACGACCTTGCCCCACCTCCTACCGCTATCCCACCATCTACCGCTGATAGGCTGGCTACCAGACACGCTCTGCACCAGCTCTGTAAGGGCGTATTTTTGCGCTTTTACAGAGTTTACTCCCGAACCACTCGGTGTATCGTGTCGCGGTGATAGGCTGGCTACCAGACGCGCTCTGCACCAGCTCTGTAAGGGCGTATTTTTGCGCTTTTACAGAGTTTACTCTCGAACCACTCGGTGTATCGTGTCGCGGTTAACAGTGTTGCGCTCAGTAGGACTTAAGGGTCTACTGCCCAGTCGACGACTGTGGATAGTGTCGACGATAGCAAGGCAGTCAGACCACTACTGTGGAACTGGTCTTATGAGTCTATACCAGGCTCAGGGCCATTAGTGACGAACGCTTGGACCGCGACCATTCCCCAAAAAGGAATCTTTTGTTGCGTCGACTTCTCAAAAAGGGTCATTCTCTGCAGATGGGAACTTGGGCTGAAGGGCTGAGCAATGCGCGATGTTCTCAATAATAGAACTATCACTGGACAGGACTTGGCGTTACGAGATCTAAACTATCTTGTCGCGGCAACTCCCGGTTTTGAGTTGGACGTTTCCTCAGATCATGCCACGACGACGACTTGTCACATGTCAGGATCCATTCGATCACGGGACATTGTGGACGCGTCGCGGTGACACTCCCAAGTGTCACGACGAGTCGCGCCCATACCCAAACACACTAGAAACCGACACGGCTAGATCCGTGAACCGAGCCATGTGGGAGACGACTGGCGTGCCTAGAGCCATACGGCTTCTTGGGGCGCCCACGTTGGTCTCGCATGCCAAGACATACCCGTTGGCCAATCCAGCACGTCGTATTCCAAAAGTATGACGCGGTGAGTTGACCCACATCAAAAGTATCATATGGACTATGGGGCGGGGTCCTGATCACTCAGGACCTGTCCGATCGTTCAACTTTCAATTACCCTAAAAGGCAACCGATCTTAGATAGCGTAGCTACTATGCAGTTGTACAGGACTTTACTAAGCATCGTCGTAGACAGTATAAGTAGCACGTCGTTTCTTTGTATTAAAAAGCTTTCCCCCGGACTGTGAATCACTCTCATTTCAGATTGTTTTGTACAATTTGCGTTGAAATGCTGAGGGCGTGCTCACAAGTGAATCTACTATGAAAGTAAACCCAAATATAAACACGTTCACACTCCTCGTAATCAGCTTCTCAGTGTGTGAAAGATGCGAGGGCTTCGGGGTGGACAGAGCACCAGTATCACAACTCTCAATGGACGCAGATCCAATAGTCGCGGAGACGGAGTCGACGACAAGGATATATATATATAGCAAACAATGGTGTCTCAACCAATATCTTCTATACGATCACAACCAACACTAATCCAATCCACAACAACAATATAACAAGTCAGAGCTTAATACGAAGTATTAAGATCCCTTGTAGCGACAGCGTCTAGATGGTGACGCAAAGCCCAAATATCAAGTCGACGCACTGCCAACCGATACAATCCAATATACTGAGTCGACGCACTGCCAACTAGTAAACCAAAATGTCAAGTCGACGCACTGCCAACTGACACAACCAAAAGTACTGAGTCGACGCACTGCCAACTAGTAAACCAAAATGCCGCGTCGACGCACTGCCAACTAACAGCCAATATCCAATGTCCAAAACCCGAGCACAACTTGTCGACGCACTGCCAAGCAAGAAGTGTGGAACCAAAGTTCTCAAGTCGACGCACTGCCAACTGACCAAAACAGCCCGAGCACAACTAGTCGACGCACTGCCAAGCTAGAGGTGTGGAACGATCTCAACAAAGCCCGAAGGCGACGACACTAAATGCCGCGACTAAACCAGATGCGGCGAATCCGACTTTCTGATGTCTCAAAACTCAAAACTCAAATCACAGTAGCTACAAGTGCTCAGGGAGCAACTTGTCGCGACCGGGCAGGGGTAGCAGAACTTCTTAGGGTGGAATCACGTGGCACGCAAATTGTACAAAACAATCTGAAATGATAGTGATTCACAGTCCGGGGGAAAGCTTCCTAATACAAAGAGACGACGTGCTACTTATACTGTCTACGACGCTGCTTAGTAAAGTCCTGTACAACTGCATAGTAGCTACGCTATCTAAGATCGGTTGCCTTTTAGGGTAATTGAAAAGTTCGAACGATCGGACAGGTCCTGAGTGATCAGGACCCCGCTCCATCGTCCATATGATACTTTTGATGTGGGCCAACCCACCGCGTCATACTTTTGGAATACGACGCGTTGGATTGGCCAGCGGGCATGTCTTGGCATGTGAGACCAACGTGGGCGCCCCAAGAAGCCGTATGACTCTAGGCACGCCAATCGTCCCCCACATGGCTCGGTTCACGGATCTAGCCGTATCGATTTTAGTGTGTTTGAGTATGGGCGCGACTCGCCGTGACACTTGGAAGTGTCACCGCGACGCGTCCACAATGTCCCGTGATCGAATGGATCCTGACATGTGACAAGTCGTCGTCGTGGCATGATCTGAGGAAACGTCCAACTCAAAACCGGGAGTTGCCGCGACAAGATGGTTTAAGTCTTGTAACGCCAAGTCCTGTCCAGTAGTAGTTCTATTATTGAGAACGTCGCGCATTGCTCAGCCCTTCAGCCCAAGTTCCCATCTGCAGAGAATGACCCTTGTTGAGAAGTCGACGCAACGACATATCCCTTTTTGGGGAATGGTCGCGGTCCAAGCGTTCGTCACTAATGGCCCTGAGCCTGGTGTAGACTCATAAGACCAGTTCCACAGTAGTGGTCTGACTGCCTTGCTATCGTCGACACTACCCACAGTCGTCGACTGGGCAGTAGACCCATAAGTCCTACTGAGCGCAACACTGTTAACCGCGACACGATACACCGAGTGGTTCAAGAGTAAACCCTGTAAAAAGCGCAAAAATACGCCCTTACAGAGCTGGTGCAGAGCGCGTCTGGTAGCCAGCCTATCATCTCCCAGGAACACTAATTTTGACCTCCTGGTCAATCCCGCGACAGTCTCACTGCGTCAGGTCTAAGTCCAACAGTCGACGTCTCGTTTATTTATTATTAAAGCCGCGGAGACATAGAGTTATGTTCCCACGTCTTATTCATTTGGTTGTTCGGTTCCTTCCGTGATCTGCCGCGATCAAACTTCTTCCGGCATGTTCACCATATAAATGCCCTCAATTTTCAGGGTCGAGAGTCTCCCTAGTACGAGACACTCTTGCCTTTTGACCACCATGTCCGCGCCCGACCAGAGCCCCCGCCCCCAAGACACCAACCGTGAGTGACGCCCAAGGCGATTACCGCGACTTTTCAACCACGCTAACCGTCCATCAGCCGTCACCGAATCAGCTGTCCCGGGAGCAAACCTGCCTGCCATCGACTGGCGGCAGTTCATGCCGTCCGTCAAGGTCTCTCCCATGGCTTGTCGACTCAACTCACCACCTGCCTAGCCCCGAGGCCTATAACCAGATGTTGCGGCAGATGGCCGTCGACGTCCGCCAGATCCAACAGGTGAGCTCCGTCTTAAGCCCGCTGGAGCGAATAGTCACGGCGATCAATGATTGCCGCGTCTGTTCGCTTTGGCCTTCCATTCTTTTCACTAACGTAAGGGCTAGCCGGCGCCTGCGCCCTTGACCACCAACGCTCCAGTCGAGGAGTCGTCGCCGCCCAAGAAACGCAAGCGCGTCGTCGAGCCCGTACGTGTAATCGGTTTCATTCGTTTACTATGTTCTGATCGACCCCTAGGCGGCTCCAACCGAACAAGTCGCCGCCCCTTCGTCGTCCCGGCCTGCCAAGCAGAAGGGGAAGGGTGACGGCTCCAAGCCGCAGGCCCCTGCCGCCGTCGCGGGCAGCAAGGTCGCCGTCGCCAAGAAGTCGAGCGAGAAGTCACAGGGGAAGCGACCCAAGGCGACTCCTGCGGAGGAGCCCAAGGCGTCGTCCCACGCGCCTACTCGTGAGTGGCTCTTTCCTTTCATTCACCAGAGTCGCGGGTACTGACTTGTCGTAGCCGCTACCTCGGCCCCTATTCCACAGGAGTCACCTCCCAAGCGCGTCCACAAGAAGACGCACGCAGGTGTGTGATCCTATGTCTTATTTCATTGATCTTTAGACTAACCACTTGGTCCCTCCCAGCCCGGATCCAAGCACAGCCTGTGCAGCCCGAGTCCCTCAGCAATGAGGAAGCCGCCGCCGTCGCCGACACTGCGATGGATGTCGACGACGAAGGGGTCCAGGAGGGAGACGCGTCATCGGCCGGCGAGCTGGCCCTTCAGGTAAGTGACCCAGTTCGTCGATCGCGATTCTTCGTCTCATGGTTGGTTTGTTTTTGACAGGGGCCCAAGTCCAAGGGGAAAGCTCGATCGAATTTGAGTGCGTTCCTCCTCTTGCCCCTTCTGTTGATTACTCACACTTTCGTAGCCCCGTCCGTCATCGTCATGGACGACACTTCCGAAAGTGGGGAGGAGACCGGTGACTTCGTTGTGGCCAAGAAGCAGGTCAGCGAGACCCGCGTCAAGCCCAAGGTGAGCCGGCTCCTTTTTCCAGACCACGCCCCTTAATCCAGCTTTTTAGCCAATCAAGAAGGTCGCGGAGGGATCGTCCAAGTCGACCAAGTCCGTGCCTCCCCAACCGGTGCCGAAGGTGGAGGCCAGTCGCAAGGCGAGCGCCCCGCGAGCGACGACTACCCCGACCCCAGTGGCTAAGGTGAGACACAGACCTTGGTTCCCAGACGTCGACTAACTCGTTTTTCTTTCTTTTCTAGGTTGCCCAGGCGGCCCCCGCCACTACCAAGACTCCACGCAGTGAGTTGGGCAGGGTGGCCGCGACCCTTGGTCGCGAGCGGAGTGTTGCGGCGGCCAAGGCCGAGCTCAAGGCTCAGAAGGCAGAAAAGTCCGTTGCGGCGGCCAAGAAGAAATCTGACTCGGTGAGTCGCGACTTTTTCTTGTCGTCGACTTTTTACTGACTTGACTGTTTCTAGACTCCTGCGAAGGCGTCGGCCCCCACGCCCCGAGCTCCGTTCACTCCCGCCGCCTACGACACCGAGGCGCTCCTTTCGGTGGCACGCCAAGGGTTCGCGGGGAAGTTGGAAAGGGCCGGCGTCGAGGTGCCAACTGACTTCGTGC